AAATTGAAAAATGAAAATGTCCGTAAACAGCTCAAAAAGAGTCAAAATATTTTCAAAATTGTATGGTGTATAGGAAATGCTAATATAAAAATTCAGTGAAATTTTCATGTATTCATTCGTTTATGAATAACAACAAAATAAGGAAATCGCTACATGAGTAATCGAGTGAAAATCCAATGTTGTAAAAATTTGAATTTCAAACGCTCATAAAAATTTAATTTGACTGTCCGGTAGAGATTTTTTTATTGATAAAGGTAGATAATCTTATAAGGAATCTTGTGTTTCATTCTCAAATCTTAGATTTAAAAAGAAAAATTTTTACGAATTCTTAACTCAAAATAATTTGCTAATTTTCGTGATTTTTCCATATTTTGTCAATTTTTGAACTTTAAATGCTTATAAAAAAAAATTCTGACTAAGGATTTTTAATATTTTTCATCTGCCTTTGAAACAATATATTAGGAGCCTTCTATTAAATTTTCAAGCTTTCGCAACCAACAAATAAAATTTTATTGATATTTTTAGAAAAAAAACTAAAAAAAAATAGAAAATTAAAATGTCCCTAAACAGTTCAAAATAAATCAAAATATTTTGAAAATGTTATCGTGTATAGAAAATGCAAATATAAACAACCAGTGAAAATTTCATGTATATACGTTAATTTGTTTTAGAGTTACACCAATAACCAAAATCGATTTTTTGGAAAACCAATTTTGCGTAAAAATTCCCGTTTTTCCTTAATTTTTATGTTGTTTTTCCCGGCGCTTGTGAAAACTACTGGGAAATTTATACTTTTGACCCCCCAAAGTACCAACTAGATTCACTTTCCTATCAGAAAAGCTACTGATGAAGAAAATCCAAGCACTTTTACTGTCCTAAAACGTGATGACAGACACAAAAATAAAAAAAAAAATAAAAAAAAAAATAAAAAATAAAATAAAAAAAAAACACACATCATTGTAAAATCAATACATTCATCATTTCACTCAGAATCTAAAAGTCATGGTTAAAAATATAAATAGAAGCAGGATAGTATTATAAAAGTATTATAAGGAGAAAGAAATATCAAATTATTGAATATTCACATACTATCTAGTATCTGTTGTTTTAAAATAAAATATATGCATACCTACAAATATTATGAAATGCGAATTAAACACACTCCCTCCACCCCAGAAAAAAAGTCTTATCTACATCATTGGACATTATTATGTTTAAAGTTTGACAAAATCGGATATTTAAAAGAAAAAAACAAGCTTTTTTTACCTACCTAACAATTTTATTGTACGATTTTATTGTACTATTTTGTTGTAGGTACCCGATTAAAAAATTATTAATCGTAAGCTCGTGAACTTTATTCTATTATTGTAGATTATGATTTTTTTTATACACAATGCTATGTATATTGTATAGTGTGAGTATGCGAACCTAAGTACAACGTAAATTCCACTATCTATTTGTCGGTATTAACTTATAACTTATGAGTGTATTGCAATAAAAATGATAATATCATATGTTACTTATAACTTATAAGTAACATAGTAATACAAATAAATTATAAAATAACATTAGAAATATATAGGCTGACCGTCTCCGCTCCGAATCGTTTTTCGTATGCTGCAATGATTAATCATTGAATTCGAATTTAACGCATCAGAGCGACCACGCTTATTCCCTTGTTATTTTTTTATGCTCTTGTGTTATGTATGTGATTGATGATAATAGTGAATTTTGATTCACATTTTTTGATTAGTTTTCTTTTATTATAAACGTCATAGTATAAAAACAAAAATGTGATTTACAATAAAAATGGTTGTAAATGTAAAAAAAAAAAACAATAAATTATAATTTAAAATTATTTTTAAGACTATCTAATCAATACCATTAAATAGTACATATATTATATGACCAGTTTAAATTATATTTATTGCATCTTAATGAAATTCAGAAATTGTTACTCTAACTTCCAAGTATTACGGCGGTACCTAAGCAAATTCATTCTTCAGTTTTGCATCTCGAGAATAATTTACCTCCCTGGCCGAGGTGAACATATATATATAATATTATAATATTTCTTCTGTAATTTTGCCATTAACTTAAAAATCGGTTGAAATAAAACCAAACCATTTACCGTTATATGATTGTATATTATTTATATACATTATTTAATGATATTTGGAAAATGATGTAAAGGTTCTAATAAAAGGTTTAATCGAAATTCAAACTTCTAATACCTTCTAATACCTTAATGATAAAAATAAAAACCACGTGTAGAAAAATCAATCCGTAAAACAGTTAAAGAACTCGATGAGAATTAATATCTATACGACGTATAAATATTATATACATAAAAATAATAGATATAAAATATATTTCAAACTCAATAATAATAACATTTTTCGTAAATTTAAGACAATATACCTACACAAACATCATTAATTATAATCAGAATATAGGTTGGTTATAGCTGTAAATGAACTCATAGTTTAAATTGTAAATTAGGTAAGTATATAGTAATTTAATTATAAGACAAATCATATATTATTCTATAGGAACTCAGTAAATCAGATACGAGATTAGCTATTAGGCTTAGTATAATAATTTTACACGTGGGTCTAGAATGAAAAGGTTTTAAATCGTTTTTATGAAATTGTCCAGGAGAGCAATTTTAAGGTTTGAGTTCAAAATGTCTTCAAATATTTTACTCCTTGAATAACATTTTTTGAAACTTAAAGTTCTGAGGCATGCAGAAACTTGTATAGTTTAATTCACAACATTACAATAATAATTTGCTGTATTGGTTGATATGCAAATGAATAAAATACAAATTATCAAATGTTTAGTATGAAAAAAAAAATAATATATTTAATTAGAACTTTTTTATTCTTATTTTTTATTTTTATTATTGTCAGCTGAATCCTTTTCAGAGTAATGCTTTCTCATTGCTACCAATCTTCTATCACGAAACTATGTAATAATTATGAAACATCGAAATCTGTATCTCGATCTTAAAATTCTGTTTGATATGAATAAATGTAATAATTATTAGGTTTATTATTGGTAGGATTAATTTAATTAGAACCTTTTCATACTAACGTATTGTTAATAATTTGGTTCCATTAACATTTAACTGAGCGTTTTCAATTTGATTAAATTGTGTTTATAATTTAATTTTTGGCGATTTAGAACCTTTTACTTTTAAAAAATGTCCAATAATCATAAATGTTAGCTTAAAAGATGCTCCTTTGCATTCCAAAAAAATTTGAATTAAAAAGTGACTTTTGGAAAAAATGTGATTTAGAACCTTTTCATTCTAGACACCTACGGGATGTCACTGTGTAGGCACCTTAAATGTCTAAATTATTATTAATAATTATTTCTAATAAAAAAATATAAAAATTGTTTTGTTCATTCATTTATTCGGCGTAATAATCAGATATGTTTTGGACGTATTCTGTCGTTGAACCTAAAAAAATAATAATAATTTAACGTTATTGTGGTAATTATTGTTGTGTTTATTATAATAATAACTGTATCAAATATCAACCAATGTAATAATACTTAAACATTTTTAAGTATCCATAATAATAAGGGTATAAAAAAAAGACAACGTTTTTGTGTCTCCTGAAAAATTGTAAATTTTGACGTACCTATCTTGTTATTGCATTTCGGCGCCTATCCAGTCATTATAATACACGTATCAGCACTTAAAAGTTACTATAATTTACTCCAAGTAAATATAGTTTATTCAATTGTGCAGCTGAGACGAATAAAATATGAATAAAAAAAAATTATACAAACACGCGTATATCCAGACCGTTATAATATTATGAGAGCTGCGAATAACGCTTATATTAATAATACATAATATATTTTCCTCTAGTTTCCGCGGAAGACATTTTACCAAGCATCCCCATTTCCCGCGGTGCAGATGACATGGATACGACGGCGGTAATAACCACGCGATCATATCCTTAACGCCGTCTCTATACTGAGAACACGCACACACACACATACACCCACCCACCCGCACACCCGCACAACGCTCTCCACCACTCGCCCCCCCCCCACCATTGTCTGTGGAGGGATGGAAATTTTTTTTTTTTGTTTTGTTTTTAGGCGGAGAAGTATAATATGGTGACGGGAGCGGGGGGTGGTATCGATTGTCGGCGGTGGCGGTCAGACGGTCAGGCGCGCGCGCGGCGTGCCGTGTAATGCGGCGGCGGCGACGGCGATGCATACGCGGGGCGGGCGAGGACTCGGAGACCGCGCGTACTGCCGCTTGACGCTGCCGTACCAAAGGGTAGGTTTTGACGGTTGTCTTGGCACGCCGACGGCGCAGACCGACCGCCGCCGAACGCCTCTGCCGCCGACGAACCCGCCGACCGGCACCGAGCACGGTCGACGTCATTCACGCCGCGCCCCCGTTGCCGCGCGTGTGTGTTCGTTCGGGGTGTGTACGCTCGTGTGTGCGATCGTTCGTTCGGGGTGTGCGCGCCCGTCGTTCTCTCGACACTCGACCGCCACCGACCGTATAACGATAACGATAACGGCCTGTACTCCGACGACCACCAAAACGAGCATAATATACCTACCAGTAATTATTATTATTATTATTATTATTATTTTTATTGTCGGTGTATAACATAATTATTATATACTTACCGGGCGATTGTTGCTGTGTATAACTGCTTTCATTTCGCTCGCGTGCTTGATATTACATCGTCTCGCACGCGTTTCGCGGTGATTTTCCATTAACTCGCCTACGGTCTACATCACACCACAGCCGTCTTTAACGCACGTCGTCGACGTGGTCCTTACCAGTCAATCGGCCCGCAGTGCCCAAGTACCACACGCAACCGTGACCACGAACGACCACGACCAAGACCACTACCACGGCGAGGTACGAACTATTCAACGCGAGGCGGTGGCACCGCCACTGGCGGTAGTGGCCGCCACGTTATACGAAATAGCCGTTGCTGCCGCCGCACACGGCAAACATGTTCAACTTTGCCAGTAAGATGATCAACAGCCTGATGGCGGCGGGCGATGACATGGTCACGGGAACCGATCCGCAGCAGCCGCAGAACGCGGCCAACCGTCCGCAACAGCACCAGCAGCAGTTCCAACAGCAACAAGACTATGGCGGTGGACGACCCGGAGGTACCTCAGCCGCGGCCAGGCAGTACGGAATGAATCAGCAGCAGCCGCCACAGCAGCAGCAACAGCGTAGCATGGCCGGTGGCGGCTACTCGCAGCAGCCACTGCAGCAACCACAACAACAGCAACTCCCGAGACAACCGCCGCAACAACCACAGACTAGACTACAGCAACAGCAGCAGCAGCAGCCGCAATCACAGCCGTCCTTTTATCGTCAACAGCCACCGGCGCCTTTATACAACAGTGGAACTACTACTACTAGTGGAAGGCCATCTTCTCAGTCATCACCCCATCAACAGCAGCAGCAGCAGCAGCAGCTCCAACAACAACAACAACAACAACAACAACAACAACAACAGCAACAACAACAACAACAACTACTACTTCAGCAGCAACAGCAGCAACAACAACAGCAGCGGCAAAGGCAACAGCAACAGCAGCAGCAGCAGCAGCAACATCAGCAACGTCCCGGTGGTGCCGGCATGGGTGTGCCGGCATTATCATCAAGTAAGTGCAATATTCGTTATAAATGTCATAAATGTTATAAGTTCTGCTTGAACTGTAGGGGTGACGGGGTGACTTCTTTTTTTTAACTAAATATTTCAGCGTGGTCTTTTAATATTATGTGTCCAAATTTCGGTTCGCGATAAAAATGTATTAGTCGATTCAATAAAATTATTTTATGGACCAATCACGGGCCACTAAATCATGTTTAAAGGACCATTAACTCACTGTATATTTAATTCGTTAAATGTTTAGTGATTGTAGTTCGTGTAACCCGACATTAAAATCTTCGGGTACGCTCATTTCTTATTGCTTCACTTCGCTCTCGCATCCTCCATCTAACTTGTTTCCAATTCAAGCAATGAATATAAAACAACTGGGCACACCACCTACCTATATACCTGTATTATTGTTGTTATAACAATATTATAAAGTTACACATTATTATTATTACTACCTATGTATAGAATGTGAGCATACGGCCGCCGCAGCCATCAAGCGAGCTTATAATATTATAGTCGCTGTGTTATTATAAATTCGTGTGTCGGGGTGGGGCGGGGTGGAGTCGTACACGTCTTTACGGTCGCCGCTACGTCTAACACATCGACCGGAGGTGCACCTACTTGCTTACGTAGGTATATAACTACGTCGTGCGTGCGTGCGTGGTGGCGTGTGTCGTTGCGAGTGGGGGGGGGGGGCAGAGACGATTTTGCCGCCGTGTATGTGGTACCGTCTGAGACATATATATATAGGTACCTACCTACCTACGTACAAAGCTCTCTGGCACGCGAAAGTTGGACTCGTCTTGACTTCGGTTCGTGCGCGCTTCGCGAGGCCGCTCCGCATGCCGCACCGATCCGCGGTCGTACACACCGTTCGCGTCTACCGCACACACGGTTCGGCACTTAGCGACGAAACAGCGCCCACACACGTGCTTTCTCCGTCCTCATTCGTGCCCTGCTCGGGGACCAAACCCGCCCCCCCCCCACCCCACCATCCGCCCACATCGCGCCGGCGTTTATACGTCCGCAGACTCGCGACGACGACATAATATCATATATAATATACGACATGGGTATATGTATTAATAGACGTAGGTATTATATGTAATTCCGTCGTGTTGTTTGTTCTTTTCGCGGTTGTTCCGCCGCGGTATATAGGTATAAATCACCTCCTACTTACCTATAATACCGTGGCAAACGACGACGTATATCCGAGATAAAATCTCGACGTCGTCGGAGCTTTCACAGAGCTTTCGCACGCAATGCCATACCTACGTATAATAACGTCGTCGCATTATCGTACGCCGCTGAGCGTCCAATTTCGAGCGGAGCAACACGTTGTTCTGAAGAGCTTCGCGGTGACAGCTATCGAACATAATAATAATAATATTATATTTATATTATTACAGCCCGACACCAGATTTCATCTTGACACATCTCGGCGACGGCTACGATTTAAAAAAACAACCGTTCAAAAACTACGTGTTATAGTATTGAAAAATCACATTTTCTAAATGCCGTCTCATCAGATATACGCCTCTCTGCAGAAAAACGATGTTAGTTTTGTAATTCAGGCGGAATTTCAATCTCGAATGTCGAAAAGCTGTGACAGACTTAGGCTTTGTCTTCATTCTGCACGCCTTAAGTCCACCGACATGCATATCGAGACCGTTTGATGTTGTGAGACCCTCCCGTAAGACCCTATATACTATATATAGGTAGGTAATATTAAACTCGTTCGGCTGAGTTTGGGTTGGCTACTTAACCCTTAAAAGCTCCCAATTTGTCGGAAAATTCGTCGAGTGCGGTTCAGTGATACGGAACCCTCTTGTTCTCGTGCTGCTCTACTTGAGCAAGTTCGACGTAAATGTTCATACTTCGCTGGTCCGATTCTAAAAATTGAATGTCTACCTCCAAGACTAATCACCGGTTCTCGACTTTTAGTCGACCCGTGGGCTGATCGAAGTTACTTTATATCGTATAACTATTTATATAACTTAAAGTTTAAATAGCTTAAAGAGCTCGTGATTGGACTTACTGATTATCCTGAACTTCCTTCAAGGTATAACCTCGCCATTCTGCTTCTTTTCATAAACATTTATCCACCGCGAGTATGATGACAATGCCGCCGATGTACGTATGTGGTTAGGTTATCTGGAAACAGTGACCAGCTACTGGTTCTCGTGAATTCTGACCAAACATTATTTTCGATCATGTTTGTATTTATTTGATAACAATTTGAAATATGTATTCAAGCTGTAATTTTTACCATTGTTATTTTCTATTCTCACTGTATTTGAAAATTCGAACACAAGCTCGTTTATCTATAGTTATTACAGTTATATTTAAAAAAATATAGCTATTGAACCATTGTTTTTTTTTCTTTAAATCCTAACAAACAGTTGATAGGTGCCAAGATGCACTGGACTGGTTATACGTCTGTAGATACTGCTGTAGGTACGCAGTAGCGTAGCCAGGATTTCTGAAAGGGAAATATGGTTGATGACCCCTCTCCCTTCACGGGCCAAGCCAGTAAAGAACCTTATAAAAATTAAATTTGTATTGTTTGCACTAGAGATATATTTTATTCATATTATTATCTGACATCGCAGGGAAATGAATAACATTTTTTAAGAACTTGTTATTTATTTTATTATTTTATCCAAGTCTAATCCAAAACTTTTATTCTTCTAGTATTTTTTTTTTAAATGGTCATTAGTTGATTTTTCTACATTGTCATATTTGGTGAAAATACGGAAAACAGAAGGTCCATGACCCCCTTTGCCCCACTGGCTACGCTACCGCATTGCTATACTTGCATATTATTATTATGACATGAAGGTTAGGTCCGGTACGTGGAATAGAACTAACCAAACAGAACACACGAACGAATGAAAACAATTTATTTAAATACTGACCAAATGTTTTCACGGGTTCTGCTGAAGCGTTTCGTATCCAAACGTAATTTTCAAGGCATGCAGTGATTCTGATTTAGTCGAAATTTTTTCTGCTCATCATGTACCTATTGGCTATCAGGAGGCACTCGTTATGCGAACATAATTTTGGTCGTACCTATTAAATTGTTACAAGAACATTAACTGGCTTATATTTTACTTTAAAGTTGAAAATATAATATTGTTGAAAACTTTACGGCACGAACTGTTATAACAATATTTAGGTACAATACAATAATAAAACGACCATAACTTTAAAAACTCAATCGTCCTAATAAATACGTTCGAATACGACAGTACTAAATATTATGTTCTGAATAATGAATAATGTGATTCCTAGTGATTCCGATAGTGCTCTATTAAAATTCGTCTAATTTCCAAAAGTTCCGATTGATAAATTTCGATTCTGTTCCGTTCTCGTGGTTCTGCTTGCACTTGTCTGGTGGGGGAGGGGGGGGGTCGGTGCAGGTGTGTCCAGAAATTATTTTAAATAGAAAAATGTTTATACCTTACCACCGTTGATGCATAAGTATACTATGTGTTCTCAAACTGCACCGTGGCACGCCAGTTTTCATGTCGCCGACTATAATATTATTATAATAACATTTTTAATTTAAAACGTAAGTAATCTATTAATTAGATTTGTTTTTAAAATATCAATATTATACTTTTTTTACCCCTCACTCCTCTGGTTGACACTACCGGGAGGAGGGTCATAATGGATGTGCCTACAATAAGATATGAGTATATGACTATACTATACATACACCACTAGAAACCCAACCGCTGTGACGACTCTTGTGTCATCGTCGCATTGCGACCAAAACTCACATTCGACCCACTTACCTATGTCGTGGCAACTATCATATTATTATACACCTTTTTACTTCCTCTTGTCACCATTTTATTATGGCTCCCGTAATCGAAACTGAAACTTGTGCGTTTTGTTTTTAAAGGAGACTGCGTATATATTATTACGAGTTGTGATGGTATTATTAATATTGTGGTGGCAGTCGTTGTATAGTTAGTTATAAGTAGGTAGTTATAGTTGGCATAACTATACAATACACTATTATTACCCGTGATTTATGCGCAATAATAATTCGTGTATGAGGAAGTAATCGTCACTCGAACCGGAGGGCAATGTGTAATTCTCGAAATAAAATACTAATAATAGAACAGTATAGTACCTATTACAATAATTAAAGTGATCGACTGCCCCAGATATGTTGAAGCCCACAAAATACTGAACAACCCTCCTTCCCTACGCATATGCCAAACCTCGACGAAGAGAATACTGGAGCTATCTGCACATATGTTTACCATGCGATAGATCCAAGCCTGCAAAAATTGTGTACATTTTTCCAAACACGTTACTATTATATTGAAAACAGGTGGTTCCAATAATATTATGACGTACCAGGACAACGTTAGTTATTATATTAAGTAGGTAATATGTTTTATTTCTATCCCTTCATATTTTGATCATGTAAATACTGCAGTGTTAGATTCGATGTATCTTACCGATATTATACAATATAAAAAAATTCAATTCGTGTCAATATTACTTAATATTATATTATACCTAATACCGATAACCACCAAATTCGAAGTAAACGTATAGACAAGCTCGCTTTTGGTGCGATGAGTGTACAAGCGGCGATAACTGCAGTAGCAGTTATCGCTGCTGCTGTGACGATATCTCTGGTCATAACGAGTGTACTATAATAGAGGACAACGACGTGTGTTGCGAATGTATTATGATATTGTTATTGTTTTTAATAATCGGGTGTGTGTTTCTAGATAAATAAATCGTTATGTTGCGGACGTGCGGTTGGTCAAAGTTTTATGGAAAGTGCGTATTGTTGTTGCTTTTTTTGGCAACCAACGCAAACATGTTACACGGTTCATAATAATATATGCTATGCGTATATTATACGTAAAATAAATTATAATGTGAAACACGACCCGCAGGGCTGTCTCTTCTAAATCCGAGCTTATGAAAATAACTAGACATTATAATATTATTTATTCAGTATTTTTTGCT